CCCAGCAAGCCAGCGGCCCAGTAGGACCTGTTCCGCAGACCGGTACCGGTCCACGGACCGGTGGTTGGGGACCCCTGTTCTATATAATAAGTCATCATAGAGAAGATGAGACAGCTGGGACCATTCCAGGTAATGGAAGAACCTTTGATTACCTCCTGAGGGGTCCTGACTTGGAGCTTCCTCAGAGTTCCTCCAAAAAAATGGCTCTTGTGGGGGATCTGATGTATTATTTCTCTCAGGATTTCTGATCTCCCCAGTGAAGGACTTGAAATAGGAGGAAGGAGAAAAGAATTAACACAAAGTGGATTCTTGTCCTCTGAACACAAACTCAAAGCCCTCAACATCCATCAGAGAGGCTGAAACTAATGGAACAATGTCCTACAAGAATTGGTGGGACATCTCCACATATTATTAACGCAGAGAAGTCTGGTAGGAAGGGGTGAAGTATTCAAACCCATTCTTTATTCCCTAAAACCTTCCTGCAGTCCCAAGACAAAAGTCTCTCACCTGCAACTCGACCTGCTCCTTCTGCTCCTCCGCCTGGCTCAGGAGGAAGCCTTCTGCCAGGGCCACCGCCTGGGAGCTGGTCTCTGCTCCACACTCCTGCACCCAGCTCTTCATCGGCAGGGGAAGAAGGGCCAAGAGCTGCTCCAGAACAACCAGATCCAGCATCTGGGCTTTGGTGTGCTTTTCCGGTCTCAGCCATCGCCTACAAAAGTCATGGAGTCGGCTGCAAAGTCCTCGGGGACCCTTAGCCTCCTGGTATTGGAGGCTCCTGAAACCGCAGGGTTGAACCTCTGAATAAATGATGGTTCCTTCCTCCAGGATCTCCTGCCCAGACCTTGCCCACATCTCCCCATGGTATCCAGGCTGAACAGCAGAAGGGCCTTTTCCAGTTCCCTTGCTTGGTAAAAACCATGTCTCCATTCTGTCTCTGTCCTGTAAGGCAACTCCAACTAAGCCCCAAGAATCTTGTGGATCTCCAAATGCCTTTTCATTCATAGGACCCTGACCACAGCACATTATTCTGCCCAATTCTTTCCCCAAGAGTTAATTTCGACTCATGAAGGCAAACAAACAGCTTCCAGTTTACATTATCTGAGAAGGCAAAAAGAAAAGAAATTCCAACAATTAGAGAGTGGAGAATTTTAACCATTGAACAATACTTACCCCCATGGAAGGAATAAGTACTTTACTGAAATAGAACTTAAGTGGCTTTGAGCAAATGCGTCCTGTATTGTGTGTTTGTGTGTGTTTGTATCTGGTGCAAAATATGGGACTGACTTCCATCAAGAATTTGGAAAAGCCAACCAATGCATTCCCTGTTTCCTCTTCATCACAAAGAAGGGCTTCCTTTCCTTTCCTTTCCTTCCTTCCTTTCTCCTTCCTTCCTTCCTTTTTTTCACTTTGACCTCCAACCAGATATCATCAACCTGTCAAACTCCAAATAGGTGAACAAATCATTGCAGGTTTAGGTCACATCCAGTGAAATGCCAAGAAATGACCCTTGATTGAGGACACCCCATTTCCATTCTTCAAGGTTCTCCCAACCTGCCTGGGGTCATCCCAGCGCAGGGCCGAGGTCCCCCCTGAGCAGGGCAGGGAAGGAGCTGGAGTGGCCACCCCTCACAGACAGAATAGGGCCCTCGGGGAACCAGGTGCGAATCCTGACTCCTCCTCCTCGCCCAGCTTCTCTCCTCTTCTGCTGAGCCTCCGCTAAGCCGACCCTGGGATCCCCGCCGCCCTTCTGGCACCCCCGCTTCCCCCTGCATGGAGAGAGGGCGGCTGGGGAGCATGGGATCCGGGGAGGAAGGCCAGGCGCGGGTCTCTCCCTACTCCGCCTCCCTTTGCAAGGGAAGAGCCCCCACCCCCCTCACCCAGGGTACGTCTGCTCCCAGAGTCCCAGACTCTCCGCCTCCTGCGGAGCCCCAGGAGTTAAGGAAAACGAGTGCAGCGTCCTAGAGTGGCGTTTGTGATTTCACTCCCTTCTCAGCCTCCTGGAAAGCCAGCTGCGACCTTCGCCCACCAGTAGACCAATGGGGAAGCGCCTGGTGTTCCCTTCTCTTAACGGATTGCGCCCTCTGGAGGAGTCTGCGCACAGCGCAAAGATTCCCCGAAAGGGCGGGAAAGGGAAGAACGTCTGAGGGGGGGAAGAGGACAGGGATGATAGATTAGATTAGATCGATAGACAGATAGATAGAATTATTTATTGGCCAAATGTGATTGGATATACATGGAATTTGTCTTTGGTGCATATGCTCTCAATGGGAAAGACACCTCTCAATAGCTCCCTGCCTAACAAAGACTTCAGCATCTCCAGAGGCGATATTTTCTCCATCTTCTCCTCCTTCCTGTCCAGGAACCGCCTGTAGAGATAGAGAAAAATCTATCTGGAGGATTTGAACTAGTTTCCCTCAAGAACAACAGCCCTAAAGGCTCCACAGAGATTGGGTGAGGCTTCAAAAGGAGCCAAATCCTGTCAGAAATGGTCAGATGGTCAGAAGACGAGGACCAGGAGCCTCTGTTGGAACAGCAACTTGTCTCTGGTGATTGTTGTGAACTCCAGCCTGGAGAGTAAGATAGGACACAGGCAGGGAAGCCACAATTTGGAAAAAATATAGATTTTTGTCAATTTTTATTTTGTTAATGCAGCTGCCCTTCTCAATTTCTTGATTCCAGATGCCTAAGAATAATTAGAAACACCGAGTGGCATGTTGTTTTTTAATGCTGAAGAAAAAGAAATATTAAAAAAAAAAAAGTTACAAAATGGGAGAAAAAGCTGAAACTCATGGGTGTTCTAGAAATTTTACCTCACAGCGAGGTTCCCTGGTAGAGAAATGAAGAGAGGGGAAATGGTGTCTGTTCTCTATGACTGGACAAAAAGGTGGAAATATAAAAGGAAGGAAGGAAAATAGTGAGCATAGAATATAAAATCTAAATACTATGAGGAAAAAAATGTTCCTCATAGTATATAGGGAATTAATAAAACAGAATTAATCTCAGGAAATGTGACTAGGAAGCTTTAGATTTTTGGAAAATTTAAGGCAGTGGGAATATCTTTAAATAATGAACAAATGAAAGAGAAAAAAGGGCACCGATTTTGTTCTAGCCAAAACTACACCGGTCTAAAGAGATTCCTCTGCATTTGCTGGTGACAATGTAAGAAAAAGAAATTTGGCTCTAATTAGCAAAGTAAAGAATTCAACAAGCAAGAGGAAAGTGGTTAAAAAGCAATTTAAATGTTTTCTTCAGAACCTATTCAGGTTTCTTTTATAGGTAGTCCTTGACTTACAACCATTTGTTTTACAATGCAAAATATGGCTTATGATGTTTTCCACATGACCATCTATTGCAGTATCCACTCAGTCACATTATCAAAATTCAGACTCTTGGCAACTGGCTCAGGTGAACACCTTTTGTGACCTGGCAAGCAAAATCAATGGGGAAGCCAAATTTACTTAACCACGTTACATAACTGGAATGATTTATTTAACAACTGTAGTAAGAAAAGCTGTAAAGTGGGACAGAATTAACGTGTCTTGCTTAGCAATGGAAATTTGGGGCTTAATTGTGGTCATAAGTTGAAGACTACCTGTAATTGCTGATTTTGTAGGTCTTCTGTGCAGAAGAGGAGCTGGAATTGTTGCCTGCACTTGGAAGAGTGTCTGTAACCAGGCAACACTGCATTTGCCCCCATTTCCCCAAGCACCACACAGCCTCTGCTTTTTTTCAACTTTCCAGCCCCAGAAACTCGAGAGATGGGCTCCAGCATTGAGGGACTCATCTTCCCTCTCAGCGATTGCTCATAAGCATCCACACCAATGTTCCACTTGTCTGGCCAATTGAACCACAGCTGTCGAGGTTCAGAGGTAGCTACACCCACCCTGCTCCTTAGCCAGACAAGTAAATGCCAAAACACCAAGTGGCTGGATATGTAGGAGAATAGGATATCAGAAAACGGAATCTCCGTAAACTATTTCAGACAGGCAAGACAGATATCAGTCATCTGCCAGCATTGCAAGCTGCTGTGAGCAGTATATCCTGATGGGATTCTTGCCTGGAGCTGGGTCGCAATTGGAAAAGCAACCACATTGAAACAACTCTTTCCAACCAGTGGGGGAATTTTTGCAGGGCAAAGAATGGATGGAAATTGAACAAGGAGAAATTTAACCTGGAAATAAGGAGAAACTTTCTGACAGTGAGAACAATCAAACCAATGGAACAGCTTGCCTTCGGAAGTTGTGGGAGCGCCATCACTTGAGACTTTCAAGAAGAGATTGGACTACCATTTGTCAGAAATGGTGTAGGTTCTCCCGCTTGGGCAGAGGTTTGGACTAGATGACCTATAAGATCCTTTCCAACTCTGATTATGTGTTATCTGAATGAATGCCACTTTCAGGACTTTTCTTTGGATGGAGTATTCAAGCACTGATTATTAAAGACCTATTTAGGTGAAAACATCAACTTGCAAGACTTAGGAAGGGGGAGCTAATTCAAAGCCATAATCAGCTGTTGGGAGAATGTGTGTGCACTGTATACATTTACATGTCTTAGTAGTTTTTAATACAAGCAAGGGAAAGAAAACTTTATATATCAGGTGAGTAATCATACAATTGATATTTAGTTTTAAAACTAATTTAGTCTTTTACCTTTTTTCCCTCAAAAAAGGGGGGAAAACCAATTCAGGAAACTACAAATCAGCCTGACATCCATAGTTGGGAAGATCCTGGAAAAATAATCAAGCAACAAATCTGCAAACACCTAGGAGCAAGCAAAGATATAGCAAGAAGCCAACATGGGTTTGTCAAAACCCATGTTTTCCTAGACCATGGTCTGTATTATCTTTATGAAGGGTCACTGGCAAGGAATGGATTGCACCTCACAAGAACTGGTAAGAATATATTTGAAAAATAACTGGCTCATCTTATTAAAAGGGTTTTAAACTAAAATTGAGAAGGGAGGGTGATCAATTCTTCACCTTTAGAACCTAATTTCAAGCAAAAGCCACTAGATAGTCAATCATATAAAGAGGTAAAGAGTAATGTGAAAGAAGAAAGAAAATAAGAATTTAATGAAGTAGAGAGAAGGATAGAAATCCCAGTTACAAAGTCGGAGCTATAAGAAACATACTCAAGATCCATAAAGACCTCAAATGCCTATACACTAACACTCAAAGCTTAGGGAACAAACAAGGTAAATTTGAAGTATTAATACATGAACGGTAGTTATGATATAGTTGCCATTACTGAAACTTGGTAAGATGAAACTCATGACTGGAATACAGCGATGGAAGAATACAAACTATTCAAAAGAAACAGACCTAAGAAAAGATGAGGTGGATTTGCATTCTACAGTGCATTCAGAAAGTATTCCGACATCCTTCACTTTTGTCAATTTTAGTATGCTGCAGCCTGCTTCTACAATTGTTGAAATTCATTTTTCTCATTAATCTACACTCAGTATCCCATAATTACAAAATGAAAACAAAACTTTACAAATGTGTAGAACATGATAGCAATATTCCAATATTTGAGGGGTTCCCACAAAGAAGAGGGGGTTAACTTATTTTCCAAAGCACCAGAAGGCAAGACAAGAAACAACGGGTGGAAACTAATCAAGGAGAGAAAGAATCTGAAATTTCCTAACAGTGAGAACAATTAACAGTAGAAGCGCATGTCTTCAGAACTTGTGGATGTTTTATCACTGGAGGTTCTTAAGAAGAAACTGGACAGATCATGACAAACAAATCTTATTTCATTCTTTGACAAAGTGACTAAATTAGTGGACCAGTGAAATCCTGTGGACATTGTATTCTTGGATTACAGTAACACATTTGACAAAGTAGACCACAATCTACTTCTTGTCAAGCTAGAAAAATGTGGGATAGACATCATCACCACACATGGATTTGTAACTGGCTGACAAACCACACACAACGTTTAGTCCTTAGTGGAATTATATCTACATGGAAGTAAGTAGTGGGATACCCCAAGGTTCCGTCTTAGGTCCAGTACTCTTCAATATCTTCATAAGCTATTTAGAAGAGGGAATAGAAAGGAACTCATCAAATTTGCAGACAACACCAATAGCCAACACTCCATAAGATAGGTTTAAAATCTGGATGGATCTTGACAGATTTGAACTCTGGATCCTATCCAACAAAATAAAATTCAATGTGGACAAAGGCAAGGTTTTGTACCTAGGTGGGAAAAACCAAAGGTAGAAGTACAAATTACAAGTACCCAGTTCAAAAACAGTAACTGTGAGAGGGACTTTGGAGTCCTAATCGACAATCATTTAAACATGAGACAGCAGTGTCCAGCAGCCACCAATAATAATGATATGATGCAATCTTAAGTTGCAGAGATAGAATCAAGCTCAGATGAACTATTAGTACCATTTTATAAAGCCTTAGAAAGAGCATACCTAGAATACTACATCCAGTTTTGGTCACCATATTATAAAAAAGATGTTGAGATTCTGAAAGAGCAATAAGGATGATTAGAAAACTTGAAGCTAAAACATATGAAGAACAGTTGCAGGAATTGACATGATAGCAGTGTTTCAATATTTGAGGGGTTGCCATAAAGAAGGAGTCAAGCTATTTTCCAAGGCACCAGAAGGCAAGACAAGAAACAATGGATGAAACTAATCAAGGAGAGAAGCAGCTTAGAGCTAAGAAGAAATTTCCTAACAGTAAGAACACTTTACCATATGTTTGGAGGATCTCCTCATCATTCTGGATCTTTTTGAGGGAGGAATTCTTCATTCTGAAGCTCTTTTCACACACTATGTATGTGTGTATGTGACATTTCTCACATATTCAAAGGCCTTTGACAAAAAGTTTCGATGCTTCTCGAGTGATACAGCTTGACTCGGGTCTCAATTCTACACAATGGATACAAGTCAGATTATTATTTTTTTGTATCTTCACATCCCAGAAACTGTTCCTCTTCTGATTGTGGCCAGAAGGGATTTAAATAGTTCCCTGAAATATTTTTCTTAATTTCACATTATTTTATTTTGGCTCCTACTATTTCCAAAGATCTTCCTTCTTAGTTGATAATTTGCAATATCAGCACAATGGAGTTTTTTTTTTCATTCTCATTCTCCTGACTATCCTCAAGTTGGGACAAAAAGGGGTGAGGGAGGGAAGGAAGGAAAACCTACAAGCAATTTAAAGCACAAATTATCTTGTCATTTTTAATTCTGTGTCACAATCAATTGAACAATCTCTGCATACATTGATGGAACTTATGTTCCCTTTTGATTATAAAATTCCTTCAGACCTCAGAATATCTGCAGTGCCATTTCTAATTTTGTTTTTCAGTGGGAAGAGAATTTAGAGCCATATGATAAAATGAGTATATTAAGAAACAAGAAAGGGAGGGGAAAACAATTGTAAGACGTGGCAAAAAAAAGGGGGGAAATTAAATTATGGGAAGCAACTGTGGATAAATTCAATTTCTACCTCCATCTCTGCCATAGTGAAAGAAAGATGAACAAGTTTGTCTTGAAGAGATCCTTCTTCTGCCTGGGGAAGTAGCACCTGTTAAATATCTACCTGTTCATATCCTTCATGGAATCAAGATCAATTAAAAACTGATGAAAATACACTTCAGAAATAAAAGTTTTTCCTTATTAAGATATAGTAGCATTGGGCATCTTCAAATTAGAGCATCTTCAAAAATCTGCTGTTTATAAGCAAGTGCCAGTTGTTTTTGTTCTCATTTCAATTCTTTGGAGTTGCCAAATATAAGGGTCTGACTCCTTTCCTAAATCAGTATACATAAATAGTATACAAAACTAACAAAGTCTAGAATTTGCATGTATATGCCAAAATTTATATACACCAAATTTATCTGTTTATGGCAAAATTAGGTCATTACTCCTGAAGCTCTTTCCAAGCTCCTCAGTTTCATATCGTTTTTCTTCCGTATGAATTCTTTTATGAGACGTAAGGGAACCATTATGAGTGAAACTCTTTCCACACTCCAAACATTTGTATGGCTTTTCCCCTGTGTGGATTCTTTTATGTGAATTAAGATGGCTGCTATTAGTAAAGCCTTTCCCACATTCCACACATTTATACGGCTTCTCCCCTGTGTGGATCCAGTTATGGGAACTAAGTTGACTGCTATGAGTAAAGGTCTTTCCACACACTCTACATTTATATGGCTTCTCCCCTGTATGGATCCTTTTATGTTTCATAAGGGATGAATTTTCACCAAAACTCTTTCCACATTCCGTGCATTTATATGGTTTCTCGCCTGTGTGAATCCTTTTATGTACAGTAAGAGGCCCATTTTCGCAAAAGCTCTTTCCACATTCTTGGCATTTATACGGCCTCTCTCCTGTGTGGATCCTTTTATGGGAAGTGAGATGACTGCTGTTAGTAAAGCCCTTTCCACACTGCTCACATTTATAGGGCCTCTCTCCTGTGTGGATCCTTTTATGGCAAGTAAGCTGATTGCTGTGAGTAAAGGTCTTTCCACACTCTTTGCATATATAGGGCCGTTCCCCTGTGTGGATCCTTTTATGTTTTATAAGCGATGCATTTTCACAGAAGCCCTTTCCACAGTCCATGCATTTATACGGCTTCTCCCCTGTATGGATCCTCTTATGCGAATTAAGATTACCTTTCTGAGTAAAGGTCTTTCCACACTCTGTGCACGTATATGGCTTCTTCCCCGTGTGGATCCATTTATGAGAAGTAACTTGACTGCTTCTTCTGAAGCTCTTTCCACATTCCAAACATTTATAAGGCTTCTCTTCTGTCTGGATCATTTTATGAGATGTAAGGGACACATTTTCAGAAGAAGCAGTGAAAGTTGAATTGTAATGGTTCCAACTGTCTGTGCATATATACTCTTCTTGTTGGCTTTCGTTTGGATAGTATTCATTTACATCTAATTTGACTTGGAACAGTTTTACACTATTTCCAATATATTTTTTCTCTATTTCTCCTTGTTGGGCAAGAAAATCTTGCATTGGAGCATCAGTGGAAGATGAGCTTTCTTGTTTCCAATCATTTGACTGGTTTCTCTCATGATTTTCAAGTTCCATTTTAATTGCAGGTTTCTCTATTCCATTTCCAGGTCTGATTACTTGGAATGGTTCTCTGGAATCCTTATTCTCTTGCCCATTATTACCTTCAATGGTAAAGAGAAATGAAAGTGATAACAAGATTAGTGAAAAAGATACAATTGTATAAAGCCATATTAATTTCCTTCTCTGCGTCATCAGGGCAGATTTTTTCCTTCTTTCTCCCAGGACATGACATCTGGGTGGGGATTTTTAAAATAAGACATAGCTGATGTTATCTAATTAAAGAATGCCTTCCTAATTGAGGAATGCCTAACACTTACCCAGAGAGATCACATTCCTATGATTTTCCAGCATGACTTCCCAATGCAGCTCTTTTTGGTGAGCATCCAATTGAGACCACTCCTCTTCAGAGAAATACACAGCTACCTCTTCAAAGGACACAGGACCCTCCTGAACAAGGAAGAAAAAAAAAAAGAACAAAACAGACCTGGGAGGATTTGGAAAACCTGTGTTATTATTTAGAAATTGCCAAAGCAAAGATAGCAAAGATTTTATCAACATTTCACATTTCTGAACTGGCCATTCACATGATTCTGTAGTATTCTAAAAGTCATTCGGTGAAACTAGCCCATTTCTTTTTGGATTATATCTATGTCTGTCTGTTTGTCTGTCTAATTATCTACTGTATGTATATCCATGCATCCACCAGCAAAGACTCTCAGCATGTGGACAGAATCAACCTGCAGATGGGCCTTGAAATCCCCAGAACTTCGTGGCTCCACTCCGTCCTATGTTTGCAGATGGAAATGAGAGGGGAACATCTTTCTAGCATTTCAGCAAACAGCTTTTGCTGTCCTCCTAAGGACCAATCTGAGTGATTGACTGAACAGGACAAAATTTTCTGGGTTGGATATTTCCCACCTTTTGAAAAGCAAATCCAGGCAAAAACCAGAGGGTTAGAAATTAACTCTGCTATTTCAGGTCAATATTTACTTAAAGAGACTTTTCTATCTGGCTACTTTCGTTATATTGTAATAATTTGCCTTATCTTTTAATCTGATTGGTGTATTTTTCTTGACTGGTTATAAACAAGGCTTTCAAAAATGGTGATGTGCCAGTGTATTTATTTATGTTTGATCTGACCTGCCCAATTCCAAATGAAAGAATTATGAAAAGAATGGCTCTTCTGAAAGGTTTCGTAAAGAATTAATTCTTGAAAATTAGGCAAAATAATTAGCACAAGGACAGTTAAGTACTGGTCTTAAAATATGGTTCCCCATTAGAAGAGTAACAAATAAATCTTGTTTCTTGCTCACAAACACGATAATCCAGTCCAAACAAAAGGAGAGTACATCAGTTTGGTTCCTGAGCAAAAAGAATATAAGTCTAATAAATTAATTCCCCAACTTACTTGATTTGGAGGTTCAACCATATTTTTAGGTGTACCATTAGGAGGACTAAACTTCATTCGACTCTCTGTAAGGGATACAGAATTTTAAAATCAACAATAAAGGGAACATAATTTTTAAAATTATTTTAAAAATTTAAAATTATTTAAAAATAATAATAAAGGGAACATAAAATTACTTAGATGAGGGAATAGAAGGGGAACTCATCAAATTTGCACATGACACTAAGCTGGCAGGAATAGCCAACACACCCCAGAAGACAATTCAGAATCCAAAAAGATCTTGACAGACATGAACAATGGGCCCAAGCCAACAAAATGAAATTTAATGTGGAGAAAAGTGAGGTTTTACACCTGGGCAGGAAAAACCAAAAGAGTAAGTACAGATCTTAGTCTTAGTGGATTATCACTTAAACATAAGTCAGCCATGTGCGGCAGCAGCCAAAAGAGCCAATGCAATCAATTCTATAAACAGAGGCATAAAATCAAAATACTAGTACCGCTCTATAAAGCTTTAGTACAATCACAACTGGAATACTGCATCCAGTTTTGGTCACTACATTACAAAAAAGATGTTGAGACCTTGGAAAAAGTGCAAACAAGAGCAATAAAGATTTGGGTTTGGCTAGTCTAGAGAAAAGAAGGACTAGGTGGGATATGATAGCAGCATTCCAATATTCGAGAGGCTGTCACAAAGAGGAGGGGGTCAATTTATTTTCTAAAGCACCTGAAGGCAGGACAAGACACAATAGATGGAAACTACTGAAGGAGAGAAGCAGAGATGGTATTCAGCTAACCAATTCTAGTGAACCGGTAGCGGAAATTTAGAGTAGTTTGGAGAACTGGCAAATACCACCTCTGACTGGCCCCGCCCCCACCTATTCTCTGCCTCCTGAGTCCCAGCTGATTGGCTGGGTCTTCTTTAGTTGCCCTGCACAGGAGAACGGAGCTGGAAAGCAGGTTAGTGGGGAGGGGAGGGAATGGGATTTTGCAGTATCCTTCCCTTGGAGTGGGGTGGGAATGGAGATTTTGTAGTATCCTTCCCTGCCATGCCCACCAAGACACACCCACAGAACCGGTAGTAAAAATTTTTGAATCCCACCACTGGAGAGAAGCAACTTGAAATTGAGAAACTTCCTAACAGTGAGGACAATTAAACAATTAAGTGGAACTATGATGAAACTTCCCTCCACCCCCTGCCAAATCCCCCCCCCAAAAAAACCCCCACCAGTGGAACAGCTTGCTTTCAGACATTGTGAGTGCTTTATCACTGGATCTTTTTAACAAGCGACTGGACTGTCACTTATCCCTTCAAGCTCTATCCTGATTCGAAATAATAAGAATACACAGAAAAGATGAGACAACCAGGATCTCTCTGGAGAAGAGAATATATTCAAATACCTCCTGAGGTGTTCTGACTTGGATCATCCTGAGGAATCCTACTAAAAAACAGCTCCTGAGGAGGATTTGATGGGTTCCGCCTTCCCCTGCGGTTTCTGATCTCCACAGCAAAGGACTTGAAATAGGAGGAAGTAGAAAAGAAGAAGAATTAACGGACATCACACAACAGGAACTGGATTCTTGTTCTCTAAACACAACATCCAGTGTACGTCAATGAGGCTGAGTAAGAAAGGGTGAACTGTCCCAAATCAATCTTCTAGAACAGACAACGGGATAATATCCTATAAGAACTAATGAAACAACTTCACATATTTTGAATGCCAGAAGGTCTGGGAGGGAAGGGTGAAGAAACCCATTCCTCATTTCTGTCAAACCCTTCTGAGCTCCCAAGAAAAGACAAGACCTCCTACCTGCAACTTGACCTGCTCCTTCTGCTCCTCCGCCTGACTCAGGAGGAAGCCTTCCACCAGGGCCACTGCCTGGGAGCTGGTCTCTGCTCCACACTCCCGCACCCAGCTCTCCATCCGGTGGGGCAAAAGGGCCAGGAATTGCTCCAGAACAACCAGGTCCAGCATCTGGGCTTTGGTGTGCTTTTCTGGTCTCAGCCATCGCCTACAAAAGTCATGGAGTCGGCTGCAAAGTCCTCGGGGACCCTCAGCCTGCTGGTACTGGAGGGTCCTGAAGCTCCAGGGTTGAACTTCTGAACGGAGGATGCTTTCCTCCTCCAGGATCTTTTGCCCAGTTCTTGTCCAGATCTGCGGACAGCTCCCAGGCTGGACCTCAGAAGCCTCTTTTCTCTCATCATCGCGTGCTAAAGGTTGTGACTCCATCCTTTTTCTGTGCCCGTAAAGCAACGCCAAGGAATCCAAGGAATCTTGTGGATCTCCAAACACCTTTCATTCACGGGACTATTTCTGTTGCAGCAGCACTGCTCTCTTTGCCCAAGAGATAATTTTAGCTGTAGGGGAAGAGGTTACAAGTGGCTTCCAGTTGTTGCATCTGAAATTGCGGGTGGGGGTGGGGAATTCAACAACTAGAAATGGAAGAATTCAGCCACTGAACCACAATCACATAACCTTGTCCTGAGCTTAAAGGGATCAGCAGGAGTCTTCTCCAGCCCCTGGGGCGAATCCTGCCTTGCCCAGCTTCTCCTCTCTCCTGGCGAGGATCTGCAAGGCCAATTCTAATCACGGGGCGGGAAGGCTCCCCCCAGATCCCCGGTTCTTCCGGGTGACAACGCGACTGCTCCGGAGCTCCACTTCCCCCCCGCCTGTTGTTTCCATGGAGAGGGCGGCTGAGGAGCATGGGGTCCGGGGTTGAACCCGCAGGAGGGCCGGGTGCGGGTCTCTCCCTCCTCCGCTTCTTTTTGCAAGGGAAGAGCAACCCCCCCCCCGTCACCCGGAGCACGTCTGGATCTCCCCCTTCCCAAGCCAGCAACGCCGCCTCCTGCGGAGATCCAAGGGTTAAGGAAAACGAGTGCGGGGTTCTAGAGCGGCAAGGGTTTGTGATGCCACGCCTCCCCTGAAAAGCCAGACGTTACCTTCCTTTTGCAGAGGGCGTCCCCTGGTGGATTTAGTGTACATTTACAGGATTACCTGCAAAGCGCGGGAAAGAGGAGGGTATGGATAATGGGCATGGGAAGGTCCCTCTCAATGGCTGGCTCCCTGTCAGACAAAGGTTTTGGTGCCTTCAGAGGCAGTAATTTCTCCCTCTCCTTTCTGTCAAGGAACCAACTGTGGTGATGGAGAAAAATGTCTCTGGAGGATTTGAACTCACCTCCCTCAAGAACAGCCGCCCTGAAGGCTCTGCAGAGATTGTGGGAGGCCTCAAAAGGCTCCAAATCAGAAGTGGTATTCAGCAGGTTCTGACCAGTTCTGGAGAATCGGTAGCAGAAATTTTGAGTAATTTGGAGAACTGCCAAATACCACCTCTGACTGGAGATTTTACAGTATCCTTCCCCTGCCATGCCCACCAAACCGGTAGTAAAAAATTTTGAATCCCACCACCGCTCCAAATCCCATCAGAAACAGCCGGGCAGCCAGAAGACAAGGACCAGGAGCCTCTGTTGGAAACCCAACTTGTGTAGTGTGGTTGTTGGGAACTCCTGCCCGAAGGGGAGGCAGATGGGACACAGGCAGGAAGGTCAAAATCGGAAAAATGATTTTAATTTATTTCTTTAATTCAATACATGCAGCTGCCCTTCTCAAATTGTGAAGCGCAGCCTCACAGCGAAGGGGGGAGCAGAAAAGGCAGAGACACACCCCCCCCCGGCCTCTTGGGATGAAAGAAAAGGAAGATCCTGAAAAAGGAATATAAAGCTAAACCATGAGGAAAAAACATCTTTACAGAGCGATTGAGTAGAAAATTCACCTTGGCGATCGGGCAGGATTTGGCATTAAAAGGCATTAATCTGAATGCTGGAAAGAATTGTTCTAAAGAGAAGTAATATTTGATTTTCAAAATTGGTGAAGTTAAATAAAGAATAAAGAGATTGAGAAGGAAATTCACCTCACAAAATGTGACTAGGAAACTTAACCCCCATGGAGAATTTAAGAGATATATCATTAGACCATAAATGAAAAGAGGAAAAATAAAATGAAAAAGCAAAGCAAGAAAAGTCGAAGGCTCAATTGCTAGGAAAAAATTTGACCAGATTTGGAGTTGACAACGACACACAGAGGTTAGTTACAGGGAGCAAAACAATGGAAAAGGATGGAAAAGTGGTTAAAATTCCATTTTTAAAAATGGAGGTAACGTCTGATTTTTCTTTCTGTATTTCTTTTTTTCTCCACTTTGACACAAAACGTTTAATAAGGATATTTGAAAAAATAGCTTCAACTGAGTAACAGTTGAAATATGCCCCCCCTCAAAGGCCATCCAAACACTTTAGTGGGTTAGTAATTTTTAATGCAACGAAGAGAATTTTATGCATGTTTAGCAAGTATTTTATGCATGTCAAGCAAGCATGACTGATATTTTTAAGTTACCTTAATGTTATGACACACCGTAAGACAAAAACATGGCACTAATGCTTGAACAATATATATTGCCCGTGCATTTGTTTCAGCTTCTGTTCATTCTGGCTCCTTATTTGAAAGACAAATTGTTCAGCCTAAAGCTTTTTGCACACATACACTACACTGACATCTGTCATTCCATCACATCGTAAGAGGTCTTTGACCGAAAAAGGTTCCCTGCTTCTCCATTCATCCTCGTTGACTCGGATCTTAATTTGACACAGTGGACACAAGTTGGACTGAAGGCTCCTTGGTGCCCTCTGAGGTTGGTTGGTGCACTGATGATGTTCCCTACTTTGGCTAATGAAATGTCTGCAACAACACAATCAAGCTCAAAGAGCACCAAGGACACCTCATTTCAACTGGGCCCTACACATTTTCTCCTTTATTGGCAGGTTGGATTATTTTTGGTATCTTGACATCCCAGAGAAAGTTCCCATTCACATTTCTGCGTGTTTCATCAGGAAGGACTGAAGTAATTTTTTGAAGTAGTTCTTCTTAATTTCATCTTATTTTGGTCCCCATGGATTTCCAAAGATCTTCCTTCTTGGTTGATCCTTTGCAATGTTAGCACACAGGAGTGGTTTTCATTCTGATATCTTGGAGTATGTCTAATTTGGAAGGGAGGGAGGAAGTAAGTCAGAACCATCATTTGTTGCCATTGTAACCTCGAATGGTTACTTATAACCAATAACCAAATCAGGGACTGCAAGCTGCCTACCTATGGGAACTTAATATGCATCCACATTTCCCTACCACTGCTTTCTCTTCCCTTTTTTTACACAACTATGTGAAAGCTAGTTGCCATGGCACTGAAACAATGATAAATGCAAAATAAGTGAACAAAATAAGTAAAAATAAGCAAGGAACATGTGAAGGCAAACGAATTGAGATGCATCACCATCAGCAAAAAGGAGGTCCTATCCCTCTACATATGGCTTTAGTGAGATACCATTTGGAATACTGTCGACTTCTGGAAACCTCACTTAAAAATGTTATAAGATTGTGTGAGTCCAGAGATGGGCAACATGAGGGAAGGGAAGGAAATATCACCACAAAGTTAGGAGAAAGAGCCTATGTGTTGCATTTTCTAATTCAGCATCACTACAACTCCCTTGTCCTTATGGTTTTCTTTCTCGGTTATTACTTGCATCATGTAAAGCAGGGTGGAAAGGCAGATTGTGACAATAGTAAGAAAAGTGGAAACAATAGTAAGGGATTTAGGACTAATTGCATTTCTGCCTGCAACTCTAGTGGATATACTCATCAGAGAGAGTTACTTGAAATGATTAGGAAATCTGCACCACTTAAATATTGGCATCCACACATCACTTTCAGGCCAAATGATAACCTTAATCTCCACTGATGCTCATGTCCACTTAAAAACTTCCTACTTAGCAAAAAAGCACAAGAAAGGATTGAGGATTCAAAATCAGAATAAAGCTGGAAGGGAACTTGGGACTCTTCTAGTCCAGCCTCTTGCTCAAGCAGGAGATCCTATATCATTTCAGACATGTGACTATCCAGTCTCTTCTTAAAATGTCCAATGATGAAGCACCCACGCTATCTGGTTAATTGTCCTCACTGTAAGAAAGCTCCAGGTTGCTTCTCTCCTCGATTAGTTCCCATCCATTGTTTCTTATCTTGCCCTCTGGTGGTTTGGGGGAAAAAAAATCAGACAATAGATTAACAGAGTTGGAAGGGACCTTGTAGTTCATCTAGTCCAGGGGTGTCCAACCTTTCACCTTCCCTGGGCCACATTAGAGGATGAAAATTTGGTTTGGGCCGCACATAAAATAAAATAACAGTAACGGGGGGGGGGGGGGGGGGAAACCCCCCCCCCCCCCGCGCCCCCCCCTCCCCCTGCAAATGGCCCGGCTGGATGCAGCAGGACTGGAAGGCGAGGACCGGGAGGCTCGGTGCAGCAGCAGCAGCGGCGGCAGCAGGGGCAGAAGCAGCGGCGGCGGCGGGGGCAGAAGCAGCAGCGGCGGCAGCGGCAGAAGCAGCAGCGGCGGCAGAAGCAGTAGCGGCGGCGGGGGCAGAAGCGGCGGCGGCGGCACAAGCAGCAGCGGCGGGGCAGAAGCAGCGGCGGCGGCACAAGGAGCAGCGGCGGTGGCGGGGGCAGAAGCAGCAGCGGCGGCGGATGCCGCAGTGGCGGCGGAAGCAGCAGCGGCAGCGGCAACAGCAGGTGGCGGAGCGGGACTCTTGGGCTGCGGCTGCCTCGGCACAAGGAACACTGATGGCGCCCGCCTTTTCTGTTGCTGCTTGGCGTGGCGCTCGCCTCGCCCCCCCTCGCACCTGCCTCTCCTCCTCCTCCTCGCTGGCTCTTGCACGAAGGTTGGGGTGGGCACTGGGCCGCATTACGAGGCGACCTGGGCCGCATGCAGCCCACGGGCCGGACAAGCCTGATCTAGTCCAACCCCCCCACGCCCAAGGAGGAGACCCTACACAATTTCTGACAAATGGCACTGCAGTTTCTTCTTGAAAGCCTCCAGTGATGAAGCTCCCACAACTTCCGAAAGCAAGCTGTTCCATTGGTTGATTGTTCTGTCAGAAAATTTCTCCTTATTTCTAGATTGAATCTCGTCTCGATCAGTTTCCATCCATTATTCCTTGTCTGGCCTTCAGGTGCTCTGGAAAATAGCTTGACCCCTTCCTCTCTGTGGCAGCCCCTCAAATATTGGAACACTGCTATCCTGTCTCCCTTGGTCCTTCTCTTCACTAGACTAGCCATGCCCAGTTCCTGTAACCATTCTTGTTTTAGTCTTCAGGCCTTCAGTATAGCCTCTCTTCTTTGCACTTTTTCCAAAGTTTCAACATGACCCAAATGGATGCAGTATTCCAGGTGTGGTCTTACTAAGGCTTTATGAAGCGGTACTAATACTTCATGTGGTTTTGATTCTATGCCTCTGTTTATACAACCAAGGATTGTATTAGCTTTTTGGCAGCAGCCGCATACAGGTTATTCATGCTTAAATGATCATCCATTTGGATTCCAAGGACCCTTTCACAGTTAATATTTTTGAGCCAGGTTTCAGGTAATCTGTTTTTCCTGCCCAGGTGTAAAATGTTACTTTTCTCCACATTAAATTTCATTTTGTTGGATTCAACCTTGTCTCATTTGGATCTGAAATGCACAATATGCATATAGATAAAAATCTATAGAGACATGGTGGTCAGTAATTAGAATGCAGGCT